ATTCCTCTCTCCGAGGTACCGTGTTCGACTCTCTCACCACCCCTAATTTTTTGTTTTTTTAAACTTATTCCATGACATCAAAACAAGGGTGGACATACGTGTGAAGTAGAATAAGCATTGGCTTAATCAATAATTGCTACCAGCCTATTAAAGCGCTTCTTAGTCTGATCCGTACATACATCTTCAATTACAGAATTATCTAATTTTTCAATTAATTAGGCATGTAAGGATGTTTTCACTTGGACTTTAGTTTGGTGGTCTGGTCTGAAATTTTATTTTTTATATTTTTGCATAAAAATTTTATTTTTTATATATATTATAATCCATAAATAATTATATTTTATTCATTTATAATTAAAAATAATAATATTCCTTCCACATTATCGAAAATTGTTATCGTTTTACTTGGACTAAAGCAGATCAGACCAGATCGAAGCAGATCAGACCAGATCATATAAATACAAAACAACTCAAACTAGATCAAAGATCAGACCATATCAGACTACACTGAACTAGTCCAAATAAAATTAGGACAAAAGATAAAATTAGGCAACCTAGAGCAACGGGTGCATGATGACATTTATTATTTTATACGTAGTAGTAATTTCTTTTTTTCTAAAAAGATTTATAGTTTACCCATTATTCATACAATTTTTTTTACAAATAAAGATTTTATTTATTTATTTTTATTTCTTTGTTTTTTACAAATCAAGATCATCTATATTATTATGTCACTTGTATAACTTAAAATACGAACACACTAAACTATTTTTGGCACGGATTTGGCATATCCCTGTCAAAATCCTTGCCAATTTCGGAAAATCTCTGCCAAAAAACTCTGTCAATCCCGTGTTTTTTTGTAGTGCAAGCTTCATAAACCGTTCATGGGAACCTTCTAGTGGGACGGAGGGAGTATTAATTAGGGACCCCATGACTCTATTTCTCTGGGTCCGCCGCTGAGTGTCAGTATCATTAGAGCCTTTCCACCGTAAGAAAACGAACAACCTTCTCCATTGATGTTTATTTCGGTATTGGGATAGATGCATTCATGCATCTTTTTAAAAAGAAGGGACATGAGAAAGTTGGACAACCTCAACACAGAATAATTAATGTATTTATTGATGCTAATCGAGAATACAATTAAATGGCAACACACGTTCTCTTTGGCTTACTGCCATTCCCGCCCAAAATCCCCCCAAATCTCCCCCACACTTTTCTGTTTTACTATATATATATATATGTAATCTATATCCCATTTTAACTGTAGTAATTTTTAATCTATTCTTAAATTTGAAATATTAAAAAAAATTGAAATTGCTAAAGATGAATTTTAAATTGTTTTAACCTTTTTTGGCACAATGAGCTGAAACTGAAGCCTGATGTCTGGATTATGAGCTATTTTCTGAATCATAGACTATTGTCTGCAGGTGACTTTGACATGCTGGATCTGAACTGGTAGCTGAATGAAGTAGGCATGTTTGACAAAAAGAACTGAAAAAGTATCCAAATAATATAAAATTACCAGAAAGGGCATATAATTATCAACGCAACAAATTATTCAAAACAATGATATATTCTAACAATTATTACGATTTTAGTATTTATATTTATAATGTTTATAATTTTGACAACGAATTAAGTACAAGAGCTTCCTTTTTCTTATTGTTTGAAATGAATTCATATCACAATTCAAACAACAATGCAAAACAAAGCTAACAAATGTATATCAGATGAAAAGCAGGGTAATCAGTGATCAACTCCACATTGTCTGACTGGGAAGGAAAGGATCAATTATAACCAAAAATAGAGAAAGTTTCGAAGCACCAAGGATGGACCAGAGGATGGCAATTTGAGATGCTTTCTCATATCATGATGTTTGATTCATTATTCGTTATTGCTTTGGCAATTTTTATAGTCGGCAGTTGTTAAAGAAACAGGAGCATCGTAGTCTATTAAAATTTGTCTGGCGAAAAAAAAAAGCGTTTGGTGGGCTATGGGGATAATTTGGGTATGGAACTGAGGAATTCATTGGCTCACCACAAACGCTTCACTTGTTAAGGTTTTGAATAAATTATGTTTTCCCGATTTCAGCTCAATTCAGCCCTCTATCCAAACAGATTTACATTCATATTTATTGACTGGATTTTGAAAATTCCAGCCCATTAATAGCTTCATCAGCATTTTCACCATTTCAATAAGTTTAACTGATTCAACCGATTTAGTATATTAAACATTTTGATACTTTAGCTCTATGTCGTAATCATTCTTGGCTCAAGTTACCAAGATTCTAGTGGGTTTGACGATCGAAATTAAATTTATTCTTGACCATAAGTATTTTCTCATTTTGTCATACAAATCATTTGATAAATAAGTATTCTATTCTTCTAAGATCTATTTTCATATTCCAACAATAACCAATAATTCTTAAATGTATATAAACCTTGTTAGAATATATACAAACATTTTTGGAAAACACAAATCTCTTAGGGGATGACGTTTTTACTTGGACTGTAATTTGCTGATCTGGTTTGGTCTGATCTGAACTGGTCTGGTACATGTCTGTTATTTGTGTATTTTATAACTATGAAAGTCAGATCTGGTCTGGTGTGTTTAAACCTGGTATGGTCTGTTTAAGTTTGGTCTGTGACTAAAAACAGTTCAAATAAAAACATCTTTAGGGGTGTATCAAATTGGGAAGTAGTGAAGTCTAGAGAATACGAGATAGGATATTTGGGTACCGAACGGGCTCTCATCCATTGGGCAGTAATCATTCGGCAGACCCCGAACGGGTGAAACATCATACGTGGAAGGTGGAGAATATCATCCGTAGCCGTTAGTCACGCTAGTCTAAAGCACCGATCGAGGAAGCCCTGTAAGTGGGAGGGCACATTTAATTTAATGTAGGAGAATGGGCACCTCAAGTGGAAGCATGAGTGGTGCAAGCGGTAAGGAGATCATCAATCGAGGATTTGCCATGTCATCAACCTCATCTACCCACCACAAGTATAAATAGTACTCCCTCTGTCTCAATTTGATAGTCTCGTTTCTTTTGGGCACATGTTTTAATAAAGTGGTTGAAAAGGTAAATGTTGTGGTTGAGATTTGAGTATAATAAAGTGAAATGACATGGACCACATCTTTCTTTCCAAAAAAGGAAACATGATCATCATTTTGGGACATCCCAAAAAGGAAATATATGACTATCATTTTGGGACGGAGGGAGTAGCATTTACTACATTGTAAAGAGTTAGCAATGGAATATTGACAAGTATTATACTAATTTTGGCTCTTGTATTAGGCAATAGACCGGAACTACCGTTCGGCCATTTCTCTTTAATCAGCATTATCAAGCTAATACAATTGGAGTTATCGAGTGATTTGATTAGTTAGCAACTTTCCTTAATCACTTTTATATTTTAAACACACCTGACATTCAAAGGCTAGTGTTGGGCCTTTAGATCTACGAGGATTAAATCCAACAAAAGCAACATGAGATTTGTATTCATATTGTCTAAACTCGAGATTATACGTTCCTCCTATACTATGACCATCATCTGTGATTTGGATGCGTTTTTCATATACTACGTATTAATTGAGTCTGTTTTTATGGTTGCTAATTGGCTCGTTCTTATCTTTTCACTCATATTTTGGTGTTATTGTCTATTTTTTTTGTAAATACACGAATGGTAATTGGGGTTTGATTGAATACTTGTTCTTATACGGTCACGGTGGCATTCATGTTCGCCATAACATTTTTGTACTCCCTCCGCCCCACTTTAAGGTTCTCACATGGTTTACGATTTTTTATTGACTATAAAGTTAACTGATCCTTGTCATTAATAAAATTATTTTTAGCAAATAAAATCTACATATTCAGAAACTACATTAAAACCGCTACAAAACCTGCAAAAAATAATTGAAGTTTCATAAACTTTTGACATATAAAGTAAAAGATTAAGAACAATGCACGTTGATCGCAGAATAATGGACGAGAACCTTTAGTGATGTGCTAAGTTATGATGGTTACAAGCTGAATTTGTGGTGAATGATGCGGAGTACATTATGAGCCCGTTTGGTGAACCTGTTTTTCGGCTTATCAGAGTTAATAGTTAACTTTTTCATCATACACGTAACTTTTGTTTTCGCACGCTGAATTGTGTAATAATAAGAAAAATAAGGTTGGAATTACTTTTTTGACTGTATTGGCTGAAGTAATTGTAGAAGATCATTTTAGCTATTTTTAATATACATTTTCTTTCTTTATTAATAAAATAGAGGAATTTTATCAACCCGGGACCTGAAAGATAGACGAACTATCAATTCAGGACCTGAAAGATGACATGTATCGGTATAGGACCCGAATGATGGAAACCTATCAATCTAGGACCCGAATGATTGAAAAATACCGATCTAGGACCTAAGTTTTCATAAGTTTTATTACTGTTTTTATTTTTAAAAAAATTAAATAATATTTAGTTTTATTAAACTAATAAACTTTTGTGAAGAAACTTTCACCAAATATTAGCAATGGAATTAATAAAAAATTAAATAAATCAAAACCTATGAAATGTTAGGTCATAGATTGATAGTTTTTCATCTTTCGAGTCTTATACTGATACATTTCATCTTTGAGATCCCAGATTGATAATTCGTCTATCTTTCAGGTCCCAGATTGATAAAATTCCTAAAATATATTTTTTGTATAATTTTTTCATAAATCAGCAGAATCAGTCAATACAGTCACTTTAGTTAGAACTTCATAAATAATGAGCAGAAACAAATAAAAATAAAGCACAAATGTTAAAGGTACCCCAAAATGTACCCCATTTTTACCCCCACCCCCTAATGTGTGGCCATAAATGGGGCAATTCATTTAAGTGGGGCAAACTCAAATGAATTGGTCCATTTATGGTCACAAATTAAGGGTTGAGGTAAAAATGGGGTACATTTTGAGGTACTTCTAGCGTAACTCAAAATAAAGAGGAGGAACTGAATTTTTTCTTGGGAAAGCAGCCCAGCCGCAGATTCATTCATTCTTTTCTTCTGAAACAGCCGCAGCAATTTTATTTTCTGCACTCCGGGAACTGATGCAGCAGCAAATAGAAGACCAATGGGTGCCTAAACTTCAAATTTTCCTCAATTTCTTTGAATTCGATTTAGATTCCAAGCAAAGATGGTAAGTTTCAGCAAATTTTAACATTACTAGTTCTTGTTTTTGGACTGAATTTCGATTTTGTCTGTCTTCAATTAATAAATTCCGATCTTCTGATTTAAATAACTCATTGCTTTATTTCTACTTGAATTAATTATTTATCTAGTCCATCATCATGATTAATAACATTGTTGTGATGTTAGTAGCTAATTTCGTATAGGGTTTAAATTAGAGTTAGGGTTCAAGGATTCTTGAGGGTATGAGTTTAGTTATTGAAATTCAATTAATTTCTGGATAATTATATGAGATTAATTATAATTGACTATATGAATTTGATCACCTCATATTACCTCTATCTCACTCAATTTTGCAGTTGATGTTATGTGGGAAATTAGAATAGTAAAATTTGTCTGGTTTGAGTTTTGTGCAGAGGAGAGAGAAATGAACAAAGCCACAAACATATTGCTTTAAAAGGAAAGTTACAAAGATTTTTTGGACAGACAAAAGGAAAGTCAACAAAGTCGAGTGGGACGGAGGGAGTATATGAATGTTGAAATTTAATTCAAATCTTGCTATCAGAATTTGAGTTAAATTATCTTGGGTCTTATACAAGCAATCTCATCTTAGAAAAAAGTTAGGATTGAGATAATATAATTTAATTCTTGTCTATGGGAATTGATTTCGTTTTCTGTCTAGAAATAATTGAAATCAATTTACTTAATTCAAAAACTAAAAGAACACCCAGAACCCGATCAATCCAATTTGAACTCTGTTTTAAAATCTAGAATCAATCTGTTTTTTACTTTATAAATTTTGCATGATCTGTTAGTTAGCTATTAAAACCACCAACTCATTATCCGGATAGATTGCCATGACATGTGCTAGCCTTTGATCACACACCATATTTAAAACTTCAATTTTGACACTGCTTGAGAAACGATACTCGTAGCCTGATTATTCTCTGGATTAACCAACTATGTTTCACTCACGTAAAAAAACATTGATCGTTTACTTTACATACCCTCATCAAGTTCTCATATTCAGGGTTATGTCTTTGTTTTAACTTTTCATTCATATAATCTTTAATTTGCATATGCTGAAGGTGCCCAATATAATGGCGAGGAGTGATAGAATCAGTCGACTCCCACAAGATATACTGGACCATATTTTGGTATCATTCCCTATCCAAGATATTGCTAAAACCGCAGTTTTGTCTACGTTTTGGAGAGATCTCTGGTTCACTCTACCACAGCTCTGCTTTGATCTGCAATTCTTTAGCTACTGTGACAAAAAATATCAGGGTAGCCAATATGTCGAGCAATCCGGTGGTTTGAACATAATCAACAAAGTTCTCTTGCAGCATAGGGGAAAGATTCGGAAATTTGTTATCGATTTATATGATGTTCCAACACAAACCTTCACGTCTTGGTCTTTTGATGTTGATCAATGGTTGCATTCAGTCACATGTAAAGGTGTTGCAGAAGTCCACCTTAAACTTGGGCAAGGATTATACAAGCTGCCGAATTGTATATTTTCGTGCTCAACACTCAAGAGTTTACATATTTATGGTGTTCGTATTTTACCAATAGATTTTCCTCGCACGTGACCAAGTCTCTGTTGGGTGTGTTTCGGAAAAACGAAGAAATATTAATTAAATAAAATTAATTAATAAATAAATAGCTAAAAGAAAACAAAAAATAAGATGGAGCAGATTTTAGCAGAAGCTCGTGCTAAAATACGTCACCTCTCACGGTGCTAGGAGCGTTGCAACTACCGTTTCCCAGGATACGGTGGCTAACGAACGATCGTTTGAGCACAAAAACAAAAGTTCCGGCGAACTGGAACACTGTATGAACACTTAGGAAATTTCGGAGTAGCTGGAAGTGTTTTTAGCTCAAGAAAACGTGAGCGATGTATTGTGTGTTGTCTTGTTGCAAACCACTTGTCAGCCATTTATAGGAGGATTTGTTGTGTGTTAAATGGGGTGTTAATGGACCTGAACGTTGGACATCAATGACCAGTTCGTTGGGCATTGAATCATCCATAAATTGTCCATTTAACACTGCATTAAAAGACAAGAACGTTGGGCATTTAATGGCTGTAACGGCTTGGAGCAGTTCTGGTGCGCGATCAGCATACCCCCATCAGAATTGGAGCAACGTTGATGCTACCAAAATACCTCCACCAGAGTTGGAGCAACTCTGATGCGAAGCTAGCAGAGCACCCCCACCAGAGTTGGAGTGTCTCTGGTACGAAGCCACCAGAGTTCGAGCAGTTCTGTCCGAGCACCTCTGGTCCTGGGAAAAATAAAACGTTACGGGAAGAAACAAAAATTAGACCGTATCTTTGAATGATAGATTTTCGGACGACATTCGTGTCCGCAGGTCGCCCACGCACACGCGACGTGATTTTTCTTCTCCGTTTCGGGATTTGATCGGCACCCCCTGCGCGTAAGAGAGAGCCTTTCCCTTTAGGAATCTTAACTCCTTAAAAGATGCTTCCCTTTATAAGGGGGTGAAAATCCCTCGAGTTTTCCGGTGTGGGATAAAACACACTAGAAACCCATCATTTTCCCAGTTTTTTCATTTCAACGAATGAACTTCGAGAATCAATTTCTCATTCACCCGTTATCCGTTTTGAGCGTACCAAATATCGAATTGTAGTCCTTAACAAGGACAATCCGAAACCACTTTGACCCGACCCAAATCAGAAGTGGACCCACTCAAATAATTGCCCTAGAATGATCATTTAATGCAATTTTTAACACATTTTCCCAACAGTCTCACCTCGCTATATTTTAAAGCTGTTCATTTTGGTTATTTTGGTCCTGTCGATTCTCCATATTGCGTTGTTGATGTCCCGATGCTAAAGAATTTGTCATTTGGAACTTGCAAGAATAGTTCACACATCAAATTCACAGCTAGAAACCTTTGCAGTGTGGCAATCAGAAATTGTTCTTGTAGCAACTTGTGCAACATTTTCCCGCTTGCCTCTATTCGTACTCTTGATTTGGACTACTTCTCTCCTAAGGTATTTTCGTTGATTAAACTTTTCCTGATGGACTTTATTGTATATGTACTCCATATTAATCCATAGATTTGAAGTGATCCAACTTTATTTACTTATGATTTCCATGTATTTTCTTGGGAAAGGTGCTTATAAAAGGACTTCCACAACAAACAGATGCGACAAATGTTGAATTGGTGAAGCTTGCAGATTTTCATTTCCAAAACGATGTTTTGGCATCTTCATTCGTACGCTTACTGTGCGTATGCCAGAAGTTGCACAAACTTGAAATAAGATTTTCGGTAATACTACGTACTTCGTATTTTATTACTTCATTTATGTGGACAATAGTTTCTTGCAAGAGTTTTGTGGCTTCCTTTATTTTCTGGTTTGTTTTATACGGAGTACCACACATAATTCTTCTGTGTAAAGCTGAATCGTTGATATTTATTTTTCTTGCTTGCTTTTCTGAAGTGGACAGATACTAAGTGTATAGAGATTCCACTCCGAAGCTGTTGCAAAATCTTCATACCGTGGTTCGAACATGTAAAAAGCTACACTGGTTGAAGCTTAGCTTATATAGGGGGATTAAGGCCCGAAATGCTTTTCATAAAAGGAGATACCGGCTTCTCTTCCCACACTTGAAAAAGTTATCGTCATTTCTATGGAGGAGCATATGCTTGACAAAATAAAGAAACATGAAATTATGGAAGCAATTTTGCGTTTTCGCACCCATCTACCCATGCAAAAATTGTTTATTACTGATTGTTTTTCCAAGTTTAATTACCACTATAAAACGCTTCATTTGGATGAGCTATGTGGTATATACTTCACCAATTGAATGCCAACGATAATCAAAACTATCAAAAGGTAATTAGGTGTCTAGTATGCTTATACTTCAAACATTGTTTATTAGTGGCTATGAATGTTTACTTGAGGAGGTAATTCGAGGATTAAATAAATGCTACTTTGCAAGACTTGGAGTTGAAGTTTTAAATTTCCAAAATATGAGTAATTAGTATTCTCTATGCCAATTCTACCCCATCATATTTTATCATTAAAATCTTTTTTTTTTGAAAACATAGAGATTAAATATCATTACTTAACAGATCCTTGTCCAAATTCAACTGAATAAAATTCTGAGAAAAAGACACCCAAACATAGTGACCAGACACAAAAACCGTTGCTCGTGAAAACTGGTGAGCCACGTGATTCGTGGATCGCTTAATATGAGGAAAAGTAATACTGGAAAAACTAGCGGAAATATCTCTATTGTCATCAACAATAAGCCCAAACGATGAAGGTGTTGTCCATGTCCTGATATTCTTGATAAGATTTAGGATGTCTTTACTCGGACTATTTTCAAACCAGACCAAATCAGATCAAATCAGACTAGTTCAGACGAGACTTGGATAATTATAAAATACACAGAGACCAAATGTTTACCGGATCAGACCAACAATTTTTAGTCCAAGTAAAAACATTCTTATAGCATCGTATTCCACTTCGACATTATCCCAGCCCGTTTCTTTCAACCAACTCACGCATAGATAAAGCTTCTGCCTCCTTGGGCAAAACTTCCCCCGTTTACATTGCATACCTCCGGTTAGAAAAATACCATCACAATTCCGGACTACCCAACCCATACAAGTTACTCTCGTTCCGCTTTTTACACCCGTATCCGTATTTAATTTAGCTAGATTTTTCACCCGTTCGTTGCACGAGGTGCAGTCAATAAGTAATGAATAATTTAGAAAGAAAAATTTTATATTAAAAATAGAATAACACAATGATAGGTTTTATTAGAAAAGTAAACGAATATTAAAACTACAAATTATCATACACCTCCATATAAACTGCATCCGTGCCACAGCTTGCAGTCAATAAGCAATGAATAATTTAGAAAGAAAAATAAATTTTATAGTAAAAATGGAATAATACAATTTTAGGTTTTGTTAGAAAAGTAAATGAATACTAAAACTTCAAATTATTATACACCTTCTTATAAAACAACATTAAAACCCTTTTGGACGGTTTTCCTCCTCATCACATAATAAACTTCAATTCAAAATGTGGCCTTACTCTTAAGATTGTGATGTAAAATTACCGATGGGTAAACATCGAACGACGTAAGTAGTTACCTTGAGTATATATTTCATTATAGAAAGGCTTTTAAGAGTGGAATGCACTAACTCTGTGACATATCTCTCCTACACACATCATTGATCACTAATTTTTTTGTTGCTGATTATAATATTTGCCATGTAGTCTATATATCTATATAATATTATATTTAAAATAATATATAAAAAAGGAACAGTTGAACGCCACTTTAGGTGGGAAGTGCAGCGCTCTTTACTCGGCCAATTGCTTTGGAGAATACGTAGTATGTTGTAATTATTTCTCAGAGTTTGCTATTCTCGGTGTGACTTAAGTTCACCAATAAGCGTATTATATATGTAGCGTACATCTCTCTCTCTCTCTCTCTCTCTCTTTTTTTTTTTTTTTTTTTGGATGAAATGTAAATTTATATTAACACCCAAAAGAATATACATCATGGGTTTTAGATCTCCTAAAACCCCCCCACCCCTACAAAATGTAGGGGTAAAAAGAGGTTTTTATTCGATCTAATACAATCCTCAAAAATAAAATCAAAGGGGGCCTAAGTATAGCATACCAAATGCCCCCCCCCCCAAATCAAAAAGAATCGGTGCTGCATGGCGCACGCACACTGATCAACATCAAGTCCAATTGGTCAGGGAGGATAAAACTCACACTCCCTTAAACATACAAAAATCAAAAATGAAAATATGATGTAAGGCACATCAACTTGATCATCAATCGTCCATTAAGCCGCGGCTTGAAGTCTTGTAATGAACCTTTGTCTCTCAAAATTTGATCATCTCACGTGGGTATATGTTGAAGAGTATCTTATATACCACGTGTTTGATCTTCGCAATAAGTTCGTCCTCTTTTCTACAATTGCCATCAAATCGGTTTGCGTTCCTAGCTTGCCAAATGTGGTATAAAGTAGCACAAAAGGCAATCCGGACCGCTTTCCCTTTCAACTTTGATCCTTTATGCTCTTTTAAAATCCATTTGACCGAGCTCCAAATAGTAGTCATGTGATGCCTCAAGCCTAGCCAATTCTTCACTTGTTCCCAAATCCTACAAGAAAAAGGACACACAAAGAATAGGTGTGGCATTGTTTCCAATCCACCCTTGCATAAGTCACATCTATTAACAATGTGCAAATATTCAAGATTATCTTGGGTGGGTAGTCTATTTCGGAAAGCAAGCCAGACATTAAAGGAGAACTTAGGAGGGATATATGATTTCCAAATAAAACTCATCCAAGTCCTAGGTTCTCCTTTAACCCTTAAAAGATCATAGATCTTTCCCGAGACAAGTTTCCCATTAATAGATCTAGCATTAAGTCCCATAATAGCATCATTAAGATTATTAAAACAACCCACAATTCGGTCCCGGATATGACTCAACTTCTTCATGAACATTGAGTCACGATCGTGTGGGATGAAATCCCACACACTCCTACCCTTGAGGTAGATCCCATTGACCCACCTAACCCATAACGTATCCTTTTTCCTATGAACATCCCAAAGTGTACGAGCAAGGAGGGCATGGTTCCAATTCTTAGCATTATGAATGCCAAGGCCCCCCTCCTCTCTTGGAAGGCAAACGTCCTCCCAGGCCACTTTAGAATATTTCCCACCCCATAAGAAGATACGGCAAATCGAGACAATCCTATCAAGGATGGTTTGGGGGACCGGGAAAACTTGGAGCCAAAAAGATTGTACCCCTTGGATAACCGATCTTATTAGCTCTAATTTTCCGGCATAGGAAAGGGTTTTAGTGTTCCATGAACCAAGAAAATTAGAAATGGAATCGATAAGCGGTGCATATTGTGCAACCGAGATCTTAAGTGGGGCAAGTGGGATTCCAAGGTATCTCACCGGGAATTGGCCACGCCCAAAGTCCACAAGGGCCATGATCTCCCTTAGATCGTTATCTTTAATTCCCCCCACAAAGATATTTGATTTATCATGGTTCATCATTAAGCCCGATGCATCACCAAATTCTTTAAGGGCATTGACCAAGATTTCAATTGAAAAAAAGTCGCCCCTAGAGAAAAGAATAAGATCATCTGCATAAGCTAGATGGGAAATGCCAAGTGACGCACATTGGGGATGGAAATTAAAGTTTGGCCCTTTGGTTCTCAAATTAAGCATACGCGAAAAATATTCCAAACACATCACAAAAAGCAAGGGAGACATAGGGTCTCCTTGTCTAATTCCCCTCTTTCCCTTGAAATGACCATATAACAATCCATTTAAGGATACCGAAAACGATGCGGTTGTTACACATTCCATGATCCAAGCAATAAATTTCTCTGGGAAGCCCAAACCCTGCAAAACATTCTGAAGAAAATCCCATGAGATAGTGTCATAAGCCTTGCGCAAATCCACCTTGATCATACATCTAGGTGAGATTCGCTTCCTCATGTATCCTCTAACAAGTTCCTGGGCAAGGAAAATGTTATCAAACATGAGGCGGCCGTCAACAAAGGCTCCTTGGGCTAGGTCAATCAAGCCCGGTAGGCATGGTATGAGTCTAGCGGCAAGAATCTTCGTAATGACTTTATACAACACATTAGTACAAGAAATCGGTCTAAAGTCCGAAACCTTTGGCGAGTGGGTCGTCTTGGGGATAAGTGCAATAACCGTATGGTTAATTTGCTTTAATAACTTTCCCGTACGAAAAAATTCCTTAGTAGCCCGTACTAAGTCATCCCCCACAAGGTTCCAATTAGATTTAAAGAACGTAGAAGAATAACCATCCGGCCCCGGCGCCTTGTCATCCCCAATATCAAAAAGTGCAGCTTTGATGTCTTTTACATCAATAGGGGCAATAAGGCTAGCATGAACACTAGGTTCAACTTTGGGGCCGGAATCCAAAATTCTAGGGTCAAATTGTTGGGTTTCCCCAACGGAGCCAAATAAGTCAACAAAAAAATTAACGAATTCATTACCAACTTGCTCCAATGAGGTGGTGAGACTCCCATCCTCAAGAGTGATAGCCGCTATGGTATTCTTCGTGGTTTTCCTCTTCACAATCGCATGAAAATACCTTGTCCCCTTATCCGCTTCAAGGATGTGAGTCGCCTTTGCCTTTTGTTGGAAAAAATTGCACTCGGCCTCACTAAGAAACCTAGCCCTCTTTGTAACTTCCTCCAATTGGCATTGGAGACTCTCATCCAATGGATGTTGTAGGACAAGCTTATGCAATCTTTTGAATTTTTCCTTCGCCATTTTAGCTTTGTTGGAGATATGCCCAAATTCCTTGGTGTTGAGGTTCTTAAGTGGCCTTTTGAGCAACTTTAGTTTCCTCACCATGGAAAATTGGGCCGTACCTTCAATCTCTTGATTCCAATGTTGCGCTACTAGATTAGCAAAATCATGATGTTTAATCCACATATTAAAAAATTTAAAAGGTTTAGGCCTTGGAGAGGAATTAAGGAGTATTGACACAACGGAAGCCGTATGGTCAAACTCCACCTCCATTTCATGGAAATGGGCCGTACACCTTATGCTATTAATGCCCCAAACATCATTTATCAATACCCGGTCAAGCTTGGCCCAAAGTGCACCTCTGTTCCACGTAAAGAACTCCCCCGTGGAGGGTGCATCTTGTAGGCTAGCCGCGACCTTAAAGTCAAACAGGTGTTGCATTACATACGCCGTTGGGGGGGTAGGACCCACCCTTTCGTTGGGCGTAGCAATGCAATTAAAATCACCACATATCAACCAAGGTTCATCAATAAGTTCTCCAACCAAGGTTAAATGATCCCACAAGTCCTTTCTTTCAAGGACCGTGTACAACGGATAGACAAACGTAGTCAAAAAAGTTGTTTGTGTGATACAACAAGTACATCTAGCATGCATAAATTGCTTGTCAATTTCCAAAAACACACAATTTATTAAAGTCGGGTTCCACATGATCACCATGCGTCCCCCACCAATTAGATCAAAATTATTCTTAAAAATCCAACCCGGCCATTTATTTAAAATATAATTATTTAGTGCGGCCAAGGTCATCTTAGATTCCAAAAAGCATACCAAACCAATATTATTTGAATTGATATAATAAGCAATTAGATTGTGTTTAGAGGCCTTATTTAGGCCCCTAACGTTCCATACCAAAAACTTCGTCATCAAGTGAGGTAAAGGTCCGTGGTGGGTCCTCCACCCTCGGTTGCACTTTTCCTAGCACTTCTTCGTTCTCTTCTCAAAAGCTCCTTGTAGTAGGACACGTTGTTCTTGCTACTAGGATCAAAGAAGAAAAACACATTAGCAATAAAGATTTTGGAATCGAAGTCATACCATGTACCATTGCGTTTGACGCCCGGTAGCTCCAAGATGCCACTTTGGGTGAAGTAAACACCCGGGTCCTCTTCATTGGTGACCGGTTTGAGGTCAGCCCCCACCTTAACCAGTGCCTCACCATCCGGTAGCTCGTCTAGATCAATGGTAGTGGCAAGTGGTCTTCCTTTCTCATCCATAAACACCCCGGTGACAATGTCTTTAGGATCCATCTCATGCACACTCCGGATCACATAGCCACGAGGTAGATTAGTCAACGCTTCCTTACCATTCTTATCTTTGGCCACCACCATAAGTTGGTGGCGTTCCATGGAGTATCTCACATTAGGCCGCGGCTTAAGGTTCAAAGATGGATCACGCAACTCCTTCGGAATGTTGACACCCATATTAGCCACCATGGGCACCTGTCGCATGGCCTTAGACGTTGATGCAACGTCAATAACCTGTTGAGGCTTGGCCTTGGCCTTACCCCTCTTGCGCGTGACCTCTTGGAATGGAGGATCATCATCCACGGCCTTACCTTTCCCTTTGCCCAACGGTGGTGCACCTTGGGCCTTGCCCACCTTGTCCACGACCTTGCTTAGGATCCCCTTGCCTCTCGCATTAGTTTTTGCCATTGTGTGTTTAAGGGGTGGCACGTGTGGGTGAAGCACCATACATTCAAACGGATTATGTCCAAAAGTTCTACAATGGTAGCAATACTCCGGATAAGTCTCATACTCCACCCGTTGGGTATACTCTTTGCCTGAAGGCGGAATAATAGGAAAGTCCTCAACCGGAGGCTTTGAGGCGTCAACCTCAATGAGTACCCGTGCATACTTGGTGAAAGTCTTGTCTTGGGTTACCTTATCGGTAGTGATAGGTACACCAATTTGAGAAGCTATCTTTCCAATCTCCGTTGCTCTCCAAAGTCTAAGATGTAGGTTCGGAAACTTCACCCAAGTAGGAACCTTCAAGAATTCTTCACTCTCAAAGTTAAAATCATCCGATAACACCTTTAGAAACATAGTTTTCCCAAACAAAAGATAGGGCCCCTCGGTAAGAACTTTGAGCCTATCCTCCTCGCATTTGAATTTGAAAACCACCCAACCTTTGCTATGGGACTTCACATCCACTCTCACGCCCCATATCTTGACCATCTCGAAAATTGCCTTCATACCCGGAAACCGGCCGGAGAAATGCCCCACCAAACAGTACCCCCATATCTCAATTAGGGTGGGCACCTCAAGATGAGAAAAATCTAGTTTTTTCCCCGAGGGAGGGAAATATTCAAGCTTTAGGCCGTTTGAGGGGGCTCTATTGTCCCGGAATAGAGAAGCATAGGTGAACGGCTCTTTTTCAAAATCATCCCCATCAACAAGCGATTCTGTGTCTTGAGACCCAAGGGAGATGGATCCCTCATGTTCTTCTTGTGCAATAGGGCTGTTTTCATCAGAATTTTCAATAATGGGATCAGCCGTTACAATTTTGGTTTTGATTGCCAAAGACAGCTCATTAGATGCCGCGGCGTTAGAGGAGCTGGAATCCTGCCCCAGTAGTTTCTCTGCAAAGGACCCCCCCTGATGCGATGCCCTTCGTGGATTCCGCGGCATAACGTTGATGTCCCCCTGAAACCCCGGGTGCCGCGGCATAGTGTTGTCCTCCTGTTGCCCCGGATGCCGCGGCATAAACCTGTTGTCCCACAGGAGCCCCGGATGCCCCGCTATAGTCTTGATGTCCTCCTGTTGCCCCGGATGCCGCGGCATTAACTTCATGCCCCCCTGTGTCCCCGGAGGCCGCGGACTGAGTGGGAGTCACCCCCAGGGTGGAAGTCACACCCAAAGTAGAAACAGTTGGCCTTCGTGCCGCGGCAAATGCTCCAGAGGAGTTTGAAAAAATAGGGTCAGACGAAGGGACGACCTCCTTCATAACTGCTTTTTTTCAATTTCCCCGCCTCAATTGCTGCTTTTTTGGCCAACAAATCTTTAACCTTGTCATCAAACAGCTTGTCTTTGGCTGGTGGGGTCCTCTGTTGTTTGTTCTTTTTCGTCATATTCAACGAAGAAGACGATGAACAGTAGCATCCAAAAACCAAAGTGCTCAGAAAATTCTGAAAAAATTCAAGTAGAAGCTGCTGGATAAGGGGATCACAATGGTACAATTTTTTCCTGGATCCGAGCACTGTAGCAGTCCGAATAAAATTCTAACAAGCAGCAGACTTCGTCCGGTTACTGTAGCATTGCAGACTTGAGGTTGAAGAAGATGAACAGTACACTCCTCTTCAAAAACTCGTCAGAAAAATCCCAAAAAAATACCAGCACCTCTCCTTGAGTTGGCGATCACCAATGTATACTTTGTTTCGTCCCAGACCTACAAAACTTAAGAAAAAAATCAATTAACTGATCATACCTGCGCATAAGGAACAGTAGGATGAATAGTGGTCTGATTTTTGAATTCTTTGTTGTAGGCGCCGGAACAGGTATCAATCTCTTCGTTTTGAGCAGACGATCCTCAGGGTATCCTCAGAATTTGGATTGGTTCAGCAGATTTAGAGAAATCTGCAAAAAACAAGCCTGCGATGTACAGTGCTCCTTTGCAACGGCTAGTTCGATTCTGGCGTTTTACTTGATGAAAATCAACGGGACTTGAACTGGGAGGTGCGCCAGGGAATGGCGACCCCCAAACAAGCGGCCTTTTCCAGAAACGATCGTCAAAAGATGGATTAAAGCTCCAAAAACCAGTCTGCAGGTGAACAGTAAAAACTGCGAACCAGAAGCAGTTTTGAGCTCGTTTTGGGGCCAAAAAATTCCAAATCTTTAAATCCAATCGTTAGATATTAAAGATGATGAAATTCCGACCAAGGAAAACGGATCAAAACCGGATTTAATCGAAGAGATTTGTGTGAAAGAGCAATCTTTGGTCTCGAGCAAACTAGAGAAATCCGACCGTTGGAGGTGCGAATTTTTCTAGAGAGAAGGCAGAGGTTTTTCCCAACGCGAGACACTACTTCTCTCTCTCTCTCTCTCTTATATAGGAAGTTGTTCCCGTGAGAAAGGACTCCCAGAAGAGAAATGTGAATAAACCTGGACCGTCTGATTGTATTATGTGAAATTAAATTGTGCATATGGTAAACTGAAACGTGCATTAAGTGAAATTGAACTGTGCAGAATGAAAAGTAAAACTCAAATGTGCATTACGTGAAATTAAAATGTCCAGAATAAAAGGCACAAAAATCCATTAAATCGTAGTTTTTATTCTGCACATTTCAGTTTCACATAGTGCACATTTCAGTTTCTCTTAATGCACAATCCAAATTCACATAATATCATTGTGCCTTACCTTTTTTGCTACACATTTTGATTTCACCTAATGTACATTTTAGTTTCACTAATGCACATTCAATTTCACAGAATACAATCCAACGATTCAGATTTATTCTCATTTCTCTCCTAAGATCATTTTCTCACTTGAACCTAATTATACACACACAGGGAGCGGTTCGGTAAGAACGGATTCCCAAGAGAGAAATGAGAATGAATCTGGACCGTTGAATTGTATTATGTAGAACTGCATTGCGCATTTGGTGAAACCGAAATGTGCATCAAATGATATTGAAATGTGTAGAATAAAAATTTAAACTTAAATGTGAATTAGGTAAAACTTAAATGTGCGAAATAAAAGGTACAAAAATTACATCACATCGTACCTTTTATTCAGCACGTTTCAGTTTCACCTAATGCACATTTCAATTTCACTTAATGCACATTATAGTTTCATCTATTGCACATTGAATTTCACTTAAAGCAAATCTAATGGTCCAGATTCATTTTCATTTCTATCATAATACTACCTCCGTTCCCATTTTAACTTCCAAATAGGTTTGACACATAGTTTAAGATAGTGGATATTGTGTGGTGGAGAGTTATGCAGAAGAGAGAGAAATGTGTAAGAAATGTTGTGAACCACAAATTCTTTACCAAAAAGGGAAAGTGAAAGTTTTAATTGGAACGGACGAAAAAGGAAAGTTGGAAGTTTATTTAGGAACGGAGGGAGTATCATGTTCTTATTTGAACCAAAACCTACACACACACACACAATTATTCCTGTTCGGCCAGGCCGGACAGGAGGGTGGTTCGACCACCTCAATTTGAGGTGGTTCCCGGTGGTATTTTTTGCTGAATTTTTGTTGTATGTTCTTCATCAAGTCTAGTTCATTCATACTAAATTTGAGCAAAAAATTCAATTGGGAAGCTAGTCAAATGATTTTTGAAAGATAAATGTGTTTTATATGTATATTACGACGCAATTATCTTTTAGAATTCTAATTGTAAATGTGATCCAGTTATTTAACCTGTTATAAGTTAACATTGCCCTTAGCTTTACTTTTATTATTATCTGCATTGCAACCTTTTGAATTATAGTTGCAAACATAGCTGATGACTGAATCGTGTTTTATAGCTAACCTACATTTCCATCACATTTTCATTTCGCATTATGTCCAACAAACCACCCATGCATTTTGCATTATGTCCAACAGAACAACTCGTAACTTATCTTTTAACCCACCTTAGTTTACATGAGTTTTATGAGAACACCCATGCAATGTGCATATGAATATTCTTTCCGATAGCAAACATATAACTGATGGAGTATATGGGTCTGAGCCCCCGGACCCACATACTCGGAAGAACAGAAAGCACAAGACACAGAGTGGCGCCCTCGTCGGCCAAGACGCCCCGGTCGGCCGAAAAGGTGCCAACTCAGATTATGGTCCTAAAGTCAAGGAACCCGGGTGCCCTCGTCGGCCGTGCCCTCGTCGGCCGTGCCCTCGTCGGCCACGAAGACTCCGCAGAACCGGATTCTACACTTACTTATTTATTTGTACAGCCCATTAGTGGCTTTGTATTCGGCCCAGTAGCGGTCCAGTTGTAAATGGGCCTCCCAAGCCCAAGCCTTGGGAGCCCAGCCCGTATTTTCTCTATAAATACTCCCCTTGGGAGTAGTTATAGGGGTTACAAATTCATTCTATTGAAGCATATATTGCACTTCTCTCTCTAGCTCTCACTTCTCTCTAGATATACTCTATCATTTGGTGCTCTCGTTGAGAGCTAGAACAATCAAGTTAGCACCCTTCGTCGCTACCAAGCACAGCTAACCACTGATCATGGAGAGAACTAAGTCAAACCGCAACCTCGTCAGCAAAGCCATCCCTGAGGACCAAGAGCCCAGGGAGCACGATGAGGACGCCACGGCCGACCAGGTCGGCGGAGGGGACCTCTTCCAGGAGGCCTTCAACCTCACGACGGACCTCCGCAACCAACTCAACGGCGGAGCCCCTGATGCCCGCCTCGGCTTGGACAAGAAGCGAGCTGAGAAGACGGATCACGCCCCGGCCCAGCCTACGGCCGCGGCCTCTCCGTCCGTGGATCCACAGGTCCAGGCCGCGCTGTCGGTCATCATCGCCAGCCTGGCTCAGAACCCCACCGTCCTCAGCGCACTCTTGCCAAGGACCGGGGGGAACGTGACTCCACCTCCTCATCCCCAACCGTTGGCCGTCCAGATAGGAAACGATGAGGGGGTAATGGCCCAGGACACGGCGTCGTCCCACTCCCACCCTGCTTCCCCTCTTCGGCCCGGGCAGACCCCAGCGCGTGGAAAAGCCTCTGCCTTCAATAGGCTTGGTGACACGCGCCGTCGTCCGGTTTCGGAGAGGATGGCGGGACGGATTGGCGAGCGTCGGCCTGGCTCGCCGAGGGAAAGCTTGGGGTCTGTGTCCCGGACAGCGGACCAGCCCCGCCTGGACAAGGGTAAGGGGAAGCTGCATGAAGACGACGTGCGCCACCAGATCAATGCGGCTCACGACGAGCGCATGAGGAACCAGCCGGGCGCCACTGCGGCCGCCAGGGACCCCCGGGACGAGGTCATCGCCCAGCTGGAAAGGAGGTTGACACAAATGGAGGCCAAGCAGTCGGCCAACATCCCTACGGCCGGCGCCTCCAACGACCCCGGCCTCAACGCGCTCATGAACAAGGTTAGCGCCCTGGAGAGGGAGCTGGCCGAGGGGCGAGGTGACCCCATCATCCAGGTCAGGACCAGGACCCCTTTCACCAACAGGGTCCTCTCGGCCCCCATCCCGGAGAAGTACAGGGGAAACGCCATCAAGTCCTACGATGGCCGATCAGACCCCCAGGAGCACTTCAGCCGTTATCAGAACAACATGCTGATGGTGAACGCGTCCGACGAATACCTCTGCCGTTGGTTCCTCTCTACTCTCGAGGGGCCGGCGTACGAGTGGTTCAACGCGCTCCCCGAAGGGAGCATCGACTCATGGCAGGATCTCGCCCAACGCTTCCTCACCCACTTTGCCGGGAGGAAGCGTGCGAAGAAGTATTTCACCCACCTCCTCTCCGTCAAGCAGCAGCACGAGGAGTCCCTCCGGTCATTCATCGATCGGTGGACGAGGGAGACCGAGGAGGTCGAGGGGGCCGATGAGCGCACCCTCCTCGCCTTGTACCAGGGAGCCCTCCGCAGCTCCCCGTACGCTAGGAGCCTTATCACCGACCCTCCGAGGTCGTACGCCAAGGCGCTCCAGCGCGGAGGCTTGTATGTCGACGCCGACGAGCTCCATAATCACAAGAAGGAGGGGGGCCATCCCTCCAAGAAGACAAATCCTTCGCCGGCCCCGGGTCCGTCCCCGGCCGGCCAGGGTGCCCAGGGCCGTCACGGCTCTGGTGGACAGAGTAAGAAAGATCGCCACTGGCGGCCGAGGTTGGAACGGCCGGGGGTCTCCCTCACTCACCCGGTCGACACCATCCTCGATTACGCCGAGAAGCACGGCCTCATCGAGCAGGCTCCTCGGCCGGTCGAGGAGGTCCTTGCCATCCAGCAGGGCGGTACATACTGCCGGTTCCACAAGAACTCGTCACACAACACCGACGATTGCATCACACTGAAGAAGGCCATCGAGCGCCTTATTCGCCAGGGGGAACTCTCCCAGATTGTTAAAGGTGGCCCACGCAAAAACACTTGGGTAAACACCGGCAAACACGGGGGCGAACCCTCTGCGAAGAAGCGGGAGATTGGTAGGCTCAGCGACGACGAGGACTTCGAAGAGCCCCCGCCAAAGAAGAATCACATTCACCTCATCGTAGGTGGAAACACTGGGGGGGACTCCGCCTTTCAGAGAAAGAAATGGGCCCAATCCCTCTACATTGGGGAGGTGTCCCACGTTCCCCCCCCAGCCGAAGAAGCAGCGGACGGAGGCGATCACCTTCACCAACAAGGATTTGCCTCCGGGTACGGAATCACATAGGGACGCCCTCGTCATCCGGTGTGAGATCGGTGACTCCATCATCCACCGTACTTACATCGATACGGGGAGCTCCGTCAACGTGATGTACCTGGACACCTTCAAGCAGCTGAAGCTGGACAGAGCTCTGCTGAAGCCGATCAAGACACCGTTATCCGGCTTCACCGGGGACTCTATCGACGCTGAGGGCACGATAGTCCTCCCCGTGGAGGTCGGTGACGGCCCCCACCACGCCAGAATTGACATGGAGTTCATGGTGGTCAACCTCCAGTGCGCCCACAACCTGATCTTGGGCCGGCCAGCGCTGGAGGACTTGGAGGCCATCATCTCCATGAAGCACTTGTGCCTGATGTTCCCCACCAATGACGACATCGGCTACGCCAGAGGAAACCAGATGATAGCCAGGGCATGCTACCTCAAACTGACGAGGCCGGCCGAGAGGGAAGGCCAGAGGATAGACACCATCACGCCCGCCGTCGCCATGAACGAGGAGAGGCCACATGCGGAGCCGGCCGAGGAGGTCGAGGAAATCCCTCTGGATACCTCCCGGCCGGAGCGGGTTCTCAGGGTCGGGAAGCAACTCCCCCAGGACCAACGAGACGCTATCCTCCTCGTCCTACGGTCGTACGCCATCGTCTTCGCGTGGGGACCGGACGATATGCCAGGCATCAGCCGCCAGGT